AGATAGATAGATAGATAGATAGATAGATAGATAGATAGATAGATAGATAGATAGATAGATAGATAGATAGATGATAGATAGATAATAGACAATATCTCAAAAAGTTAACAAATATTAATAACTTATTGAAAAGTCATACCCAGAAAATATATGAAGAGATAACAGATCATCTCAATAATGTGAATGCTTAATAGTGTTCATAGAATAAATCACTTTACAGACTAATCAGCACTAGTGTCTTGCCCAGGGACACTTGGACATGTGGTTGATTAGCGGTTGAATCAAACTCCCAACTCTCTCATTATAGGATGAGACACTAGCCCTCAACAGCCACATAATGTGCTGCAGATACTGAGCTACGTACTGTTTGATTTAATAAGAATATTGCACATGACGCATACTGGTTTAGGTTTGTTGAAAACAGCCACAACATAATATCATTATATTCTAAATATGTGGATTTTTTTCAAGCATTTTAATTTACTGATCAGTGCCTCAAAGTGTATTCTGGTCATTTTGTAACCTAACTGTGACTAACTGATGAATACCCTGTAAACAGAAAGTTGACATGCTGCTGAGATTTTGAAGTGAACAAAGGCAGCATTATGTGAAAGAGTAAAATGAGAGACAGCATGTATTAATGAGTGAAACAGGACAGGGAAGGCTTGATCTAAAGTCTGCCTGAACACAACAGTTTAGTTATTAACTGGTGAACATCCAGCTTTAGTTTTTATCTGCTCTGCTGTGGCTTTCTGAGTGCGCTGAATGCTTTAATTTGTGTCAAACTGAAAGGAAAGCCTTGTATATGAACACGCAGCACAAATAAATCTCAGTCTGTGGTATTAACATCCTGGTCCCACTGAAAAATTATGTTTACTTTTAATCAGACTTGCCCAGAAGACGTTTACAGTCAGGGATGGATTTCTTTTTTCCTTCTTCTTCAGCCTGCAGTATCCTTTGTTGTCCAGTAGGGGGCACATTTGATGCACAGCAGGGAGCTAAATGTGTCATGTTGGATCAAACTCAGTTTATTGTGAGGTGTTGCGTAAGAGCTGACCTGATGCAAGCAGCAGGCCGCTCCATCAGCCGGTGTTTGCCTCCTGTTCAGAACACAAAATAATCAAAACACTACTGCTCTTCATGTTTTCTTTATTACTGCAACGTGATGACGTATGTAAAACAGCACACACACTCCTCTGTGCAAGTACATTTAACCACAACCACAGAGGCTCATTAAAAACTGATTCTATAGGTCCTTGGAAATAAATACGATACGTTTACAGTGGTCGAAGGGTTAGCCCCGTTACTTCTGTCAAATATGAGGGGGAAAGTGCATCATATGGAAATCGAGGAAAGGAGTGGGCTGATTGAAGGCAATCGGATTTGAAAGCTTGAAAATTTAGTTCAGTCGTTTCCCCTCGACTCTGGGATAAAATGCGAGTTTAACAGAGCGAGGGCTGAAACAACACAAAGCCTTTGGTTTCACCTTTAAACTGTCCGATAAATCAGAGGGCTCTTCCAACGCAAGAACACATTCATTTTTTAAAAATTATCGTTATTTTGATTTTCCAGGTTTAGGCCCCGTCTACATAACTGGATCATTTTCAAAACATGGACTGCGTTTGCTCCTCGTGCCCAAACACAAAGTGAGGTTTTGATTAGAAAGTCAATTTTTGAAAAAAAAAAAAAAGTGGGGAAATTTGATTTGTCTGTGGGGATTTGAAAAAAACAATGAACTGAACAGTTTATTCTGATTATATCATCTTTTTGTAACTAAAATCCATTTGGGGCACTCAAAAAACAGATTGTTGGATTTACTTAACCAAGTTATACCAGCAATTTCCACACAACTTTCACATTTATTTTTAAAGAAAATGTGTTGCTTTACACGTACTTAACTCAGTTGAATGGAAATTGTTGACACAACGTGGCTAAATAAATCTAACTATCTGTTTTTTGAGTGGAGGGGGGGGAGACTGGGGGCTGAACTGGTTCAGTCAGGCTCTCGCTGGGCTGCAAGGGAGACTTCAAATATCTACTGGAGGTTCTCAATCTCCGTGTGCGAGTCGTAGGTACTTGCTGTTTTTGCAGCTCGAAGTTAAACATGTTTGTGAAACGTTTTCTCTCCAAATTATTTCAGATCTGTCTCAATTTAGTTTCTAAGAAAATTTTATAGTGCACAAAACTCAAATTTCCTTACAAAAAAAATGGAAAAAAGTAAATGGGTGCCCGGTTCTGAAGAATCATAAAAATGGGATAACCAGCACTCCAAAAAATGCACGCCGTCTTCAACTTGTTTAAACTTTTTCAATTTAGTTTCTATACATTTTAGAGCACTTAAGATGTGTTTCGATCCCAGCATGGGGACTCTCTTCTGACAGAAAACAAAGAGTACGGTACTGAGGTCTAAAAATAAACATCAATATTAAATAAAGTCATTAAAAACGTGTACAAATCATTTAAAAGTGCACTCCAGATTAAATCATACATAGGGGCAGCTGCCACATAGGCAATGAAATGATGTGCACAGACAAGAATACAGTTTTAGAAGTCATGCACATGAAAACAGGCCATGGATTTTGACTACAGATGTTTAAAATGCAGCTACGCATCTTACCAGGGTCTAAAACCCTGCAAATCCAGTGAGACTGACGAGATCGCAATGAAAATTTGCAGAATTTCTCACGATTTTGAGTTGCTATTAGTTAGACGCAGTGAGATCATACACTTTATAATAGAAATTTGTAACATGGTATCCAACAGCAAACCCCCCAAAAACATGTTTAAAAAAATCTTTTGTTTAGTTTTTGGTATTTTAACGTCAATAACATTAACATTCTTACCACCTCATGGTACATTATGGTTATTTCACCACTTCTTAGACTTTTTTTTAAAATGTGCAACAAAGGAAACATTAAATTCAGAGTAGGTTCAAATAATAAGGTTCAAATAATCACAAAAAATATATATTAGTGCATCAATCCACCTGTTTAGGTTTTATTTTTTAAACATTGCAGATTTTTCTGAAATATTGACGATGTTTAACTTTAGACAAGTCTACAATCAATTTCAGAGTGCAACTGTTTTTTTTTTTTTCAGATACTTCAGTTGAGCATAGCTTAGCGTCTGCAGGTGCTTCTGTGTGTGCAGGGTTTTAGTTTTTTTCTCTTTCCTTTATGGCTCAGTCTAATCCCTGGAGCTCTTTAAGAGACAATTCTGATTAGAATCTTAAAGGAAACATGGCGACACCAAATGGATCCTTTTAAATCTTGGTTTTTTTTTTAAACGGCTAATTGGATTTTCAATTATGGCTTTTTGAAGGAAGAGGAGTAGACTTGGAAGCAGATAGGGTCAGATTCACCTCCTTTTTCCGAAAGCAAGATGCAAAAACTTTGCATCATTCTCGTAAGTATAAAAAACAAGGTGCTGAACGTTTAAAAACCCTGGTTTTGTAACTTTGGATGTGTAAATAAATGATGCGAGTGGATGGTGGGGTGCTGATTGGTGCAGGAGGCCCGTGAATGCTTCTGGGAGGTTCAGCTTCATTTAGAGAGAAGGTGAGGCACACGGGTCAGGAGACATACGTCTCTTCCATTTAAAAAAAATGGTTTTCCTGCAGGAGCCAAGCATGCACAGAAAAATAACAGGTTAAAAAACACACAAGCACTTTGCGGCCCTGGAAGATGTGGGGGTTTTCAGAGCGGAGTTAAAGCACAAAGCGTAGGAAGGCTGATCACACCCAGTATCTCCACACCTGTTGTACGTGGGAACTATTTACAGCTTTGCGTTGTGGGTACAGCTTATATATATCAGTCGCGCCAAAGGGCCAGGGCGATAATGTGTTTGTCCTGTGTGTGTGTTCATTTGTCTGTAACGTTAGCAAAATGTCTTAAAAACCATTGAATGGAAGTGAATGAAACTTTTTGATTAACAGCTGATTAATTTTAAAGATGGTCGCCACATCCAGTTGACTTTTAACGCAAATATGGCTACAGTCATTGTACAAAAATTGAGCTAAAGTGCTACTTTGGGTAACATCCTGACCTTAAGCTGTTTGTCTGTTAGCAAAATATCTGATTATCTGATCACAGAATTTCACAAAACTTTAAAAACCGTAATCATTGGGTGTACTGATTTGGAATCAGTCCAAGTCAAGATGGCTTCCACGGCTAATCAACATCAACCAACACAAAATGTCAAATCAGTGAATTCTCCAATACTCAGCTAAAGTTTGGCGTGGTAGTAGCTGAGAGTCTTTCATTACGCATATCTTGAGAGTCGCATCCTGCAGAATTGCATGAGATTTTTAAAGTTTGACCAAAACAGCTACAACTCTGTCATTTCTCAACACAGTCTGGCAAGAAAGGCAGCGGGCGATGTGCATTTCAAGGCTTTTAAATGAGACAGGATGAGATCAAGAGCTGGGAAACACCAAGTCCCCATCAGAACCAAAATTCAGCCTGAAAAAAATTAAAGAGCCAAATATCTGTACAGCTATAGACGGAGCTTTGTTCAGATATGATGAGTGGGGTCCTGGTGGACAGGTATCTTACAGTGAGTGGCACAGAATTGTTTAAATACAGGAGTGTAAAACCTGGACTAATCACCTCACATTCAGCCATCAAACCAAATCCAACCCAACAAGTTCATCCATCAACCAGTGCAGAGCTTCAGGAGATGGTTCTGAAGGTTCAGGTCGGCCTGTGTTCCTTCAAATAACAGGAAGGCCTTTGGTGTTTGTTCCTCTGAGGCTATCAGGGGCAGGATTTATCCCTAAAAAAGGTAAAGGGAGCAGGAAAAATCACCTCAATGCTACTATTTACATCATGACCTCCACCCCTCTTCAGTCTGAGCCTGTCAGGCGTTCCTTCGGGAGTTACTGGTGGCGGACCCGCGGCCCGTCTCGTGCTCCGGTCTGTATTTCAGCCAGCAGATGAGCCACGTGACGACCACGGAGAACATGGCCAGGATGCTGGCCACCGACAGGCAGATGGGTCCGGCCGGAGAGGGGGGGATGCTGTGGCTGTGCACAAAGATCAGGCCCATGAAGAGCAGCACGAGCATGGACAGGAAGGAGAAGATGACGCACACGCAGCCGGTGGTCAGCGCCACCCTCTTGCAGCTCTGGCAGCTGTCGTAGCGCACCGAGTCCTGGGACAGGGTCGTGGCCGTGGACACGGTGGTGGACGGGGTCGCCTGGCCGCCGCCGCTGGCGGCGCCGCTGGACGCCTCCTCCCGGCGGAGGGCGACCAGAGCCGGGTGCAGCGGCGGGGGGTACGGCGGCAGCGCGTCCTGCGGGAGCGGGTCCGAGTCGATGTAGAGCGGGAAGTCCTCCGTCACCTTGGTATTGTTCGGCAGGTTCTGGATGCGGTAGTCCGGCACCGGGGTCCGGTGGCGGCAGACGGGGCAGCTGACGCGCCACGGCCGCTCCTCCCGGAGGTGCAGCGTGTTCAGGCACTCCTCACAGAACGTGTGCAGACACTCCAGGATCTTCGGAGCCCTCCGGTCAAGGTCGAAGTAATTATAGCAGATTTTACACTCGTACTCCTCGTAGGGAAGGGCCGAGGAGGAGGAGGTGGAGGAGGAGCAGGAGGGCCCGCCGGGCGGCTCCGCTCCGCTGGACGGGAAGTCTACCTCTGCCATGTCATCCCGGTGTCCGCTGGAAACAAAGGGAGCTGGCGGACAGATGCTGATGACGGTGCACGTCTCTGTCCCCCTCCGCGCCCCGGCTCTCATTGGAGCGCCATCATCAGGAACCAGCCCCGCCGCTCGGTCCGAACCTCCGGGATCCCGCTCGGATCAGGGATTAACGGGAGGGTGATGTAATGGTGGTGGTTCCGGCTCATCATCCAGAGCGCCCGAGCATCCCTGAAACACACACACACACACACACACACACACACACACACACACACAC